CTGCTTCAATTGCTGAAGTGCTCCTTCACAATCGTCGGTCCATTCGAACCAACCCTTTTTCCGTAGCGTTAGGAAGAAAGGGTGGCACTTGTCAGTGGAGCGAGATACGAAGCGATTCAGGGCTACCAAACGGCCATTCAACCTCTGTAGTTGCTTAATATTCCTCGGTGCCTCCATCTCGAGGACTGCTCTTATCTTGTCCGGATTTTCTTCAATTCCGCGTTCATGGACCATGAACCCGAGGAATTTTCCTATTGAGACCCCAAAGGCACACTTGCTCGGGTTCCTCTTTGATCATGACACGTGGCAGGTCCAAGTTCGCATCCAACAGAGAAAAAAAATCTTTTTGCCCTTTTTCCTCTTCTTCTCTTAGCGGCTCTCGCCGTCTTCTTTTGATATGTTGTATATTATATTATGTTCTATTAGATTCGGGTTTTCTCTCCTTATAACATTCAGACATAGCCAACAAGTTAACTGTGGCAATCACTTCTAGAAATACTTTCCTTTTCAGAGACAAAATAAAATTCGTGATTCCTAGGTTCGCGCTTCTATCTTTACAACATGGGTCATAACATTGTTTCGTAGTGCTACAACATAGGTCACAGCACAACTTTGCAAAATCACTAGGAGATCATAAGACTTTTTAATGCTACAATGTTTTCTGACGCACTTCCTTCCCATAGCGTGATGACTCACTCTACTACTCTAACATTTCTTAGCGYATTTGCAGTTATAGGAAGCTATTAACAATATTTCAATAAAACATGGCACTTTTTCATAATAGACATAAAACCTCAAGAAACATTCTTAGTTCTAAAAATAATTTATTTTAACTTAGCTCCTAAAACTCTTATTTTCTTTGGAAAACAATAGGCTAAAAAGGGAAATGAATAGCTATTTTCATGAGTTATCAAGGACAATTGGCCTATATTTTTTYCCAAAGACTAGTATCGGGACCTTTGGTTAAGAGTTTTGGAATCAGTAGAGAAGTTAAGATATGAAGGAATCATGAAGWTTCATGTGGCCAATTTCAAATATTGGAAGATGCAGATTAAGGATTACTTGACTCGCAAAAAATTGAATAAAGCGTTAAAGGAATGGCTAGCAAAGATGAAGGATGAAGAYTGCGTTGAGATGGACGAACAAGCTATTAAKAATTCCACATTGGAAAGATAAAATGTAACGCCCCAAGATTTCATATAAACATCCTAGGCAACGCTAAATAATTCTTCTGGCTAACCTTAACTCTAAACACGAGATAAGTAACTCCCTGGAAAATAATTTAGATGAAATAAAGCTTCGACTCCCATACGTTCTATCAGAAATATAAATGTCATAAAGTGTCAGGACTTCACCCTCCGTGGCAATTTAAAAACAACAACATCTCATATTTGCCTCAGTGGCAAAAATTATTAAATAAATAAAAACAACCATGCACCTAAACACCAATGACAACAACGACGCGTTTACCAGCAACATCCATAACAATTAAAGTAGTTCTAAAGAATACAAAATTTCCTCCGCGGTTCACACCTAGCAATAACATAAATCTCAAGGCTACTCGTACCCAACGACCCTTCCCTCTATCCTCAATAACTAAGCTAGTGATCCTTCCTCGGTCAAGCCCTCTCCACGTCATCACCGCGGTCAACCCCGTTCACACCTGAAAACATATAAGGGTACAAAGGGGGGGTGAGTACATAAGGTACTCCGTAAGTAGCACTTCCTAACTAGCACAAAAATCATGCTCACAGTCACAACATAAAGGACAAAACAATAGCGAGGCAATCAAATAAGCAGTGAGAGATAGCGAACAAATAACTTGACCTTTAGAACAAAACAAGGGAAAGGCAATCAAATAAGCAGTGAGAGATAGCGAACAAATAACTTGACATTTACATACAACAACCAAGCGTCGAAACTACCAATACCACAACCCATGATTCCCTAGCCCTTGTCTCATAGTACTAAACCTTCCTCTGCACCCCCCCTGTGCTACTCCCCGCTTAACTTCTCGAGGCATGACGGTTCTTGACATTTATTCCTAAGTCACCGTGCCCTCTCCTTTTACAGTACTTGATGTTCGACCTTGCCATTTATTCCCAAGGCCTAGCACCACTACTTCGCAAGCACCACTCTACTTTAGTCCTTCAAGCCTAACTTCTCGAGTCGCATTGGCCCTTGACATTTATCCCCAAGACCTCAATACTCATTTACTGAAATTTGACGTTCGGCCTTGTCATTTATTCCCAAGGCAACTACTCAAGGCTTTGAACCTTCAAGCGATTTATATGCATCTTCCGACCAGACCACCCATAGTTTAACGGACTGCCAACCCGTCCCTTCACCCTTCACCCTTCACCACTTCACTAACCCTCCCAAGACCACCTACAAGTGTATGTCCCACATTCCAATTTACTGCACAGTTCACAAGCATGCTTTTCTTTGCAATAAACAAGTCACCACCCAACAGCTCACAACTAAAACAATATAAACTAATTATCAGTTTAACAACGCGAGCATTTCATTTACAACATGTTTGCAAAACGTCACGAGCCCATTATTTTTAACCACACAATTCARAATCTACCAGTCACCTCCAAYAAAAAGAATAGAAAGCATGTTCCCTCATAAGTGTTCAATAATAGAAAGACGRCAACAAATCACTAGAAGTTCACAAATCAAAACTAACAGTCCCTACATGCACAATTAAATTATTTTAACTAAAAATCAGCATCAAAACCATTCTCTTAACGCTAAATAACGCACGCACTCGCCCCCTGGTGCTACTTACACAACCACGTCTTCAAGTTTGCGTCGATCTCACACCTAAGCACCAAAAACAGAAAAAAAAAATAGCAATTTAAATGTACTGTTCAGCCTTCGAAAAACGACTCTACGAGGGTTCAAAGGGCTCGTTACCGCAAAACGACTTCGTGTAGGTGTGGGTAAATTAGATCTAGCTTGCAAA